AACCCCTCCAATTTTTTGGAATTTTTTGGGAATTTGACCCCAAACCCCTCCGATTTTTTGGGAATTTTTTTGGGATTTTGACCCCCAAACCCCTCCGACTTTTTGGGAATTTGACCCCCAACCCCTCCAATTTTTTGGGATTTCATTCCCCAATCCCTCAATTTTTTTTGGGATTTGACCCCAAACCCCTCTGATTTTTTGGGAATTTTTTGGGAATTTGACACCAAACCCCTCCCATTTTTTGGGAATTTTTTGGGAATTTGACCCCAAACCCCTCCGAGTTTTTGGGAATTTGATCCCAAACCCCTCCGAGTTTTTGGGAATTTGACCCCCAACCCCTCAATTTTTTTGGGATTTCATTCCCCAATCCCTCAATTTTTTTTGGGATTTGACCCCAAACCCCTCTGATTTTTTGGGAATTTTTTGGGAATTTGACACCAAACCCCTCCCATTTTTTGGGAATTTTTTTGGAATTTTTTTGGGATTTTTTTGGGAATTTTTTGGGAATTTTTTGCGAATTTTTTGCGAATTTTTTGCGAAATTTTGCGAATTTTTTTGGACTTTGACCCCAAACCCCTCCGATTTTTGGGAATTTTTTTGGAATTTGATCCCCAACCCCTCCGATTTTTGGGAATTTTTTTGGAATTTGACCCCAAACCCCTCCCATTTTTTGGGATTTAATTCCCCAATCCCTGCAATTTTTTGGGAATTTGACCCCAAACCCCTCTGATTTTTTGGGAATTTTTTGGGAATTCCCTCCCCTCACCCCTAGAACGGCCCCAGCCCCCCGCGCCCCGTTTGGGATGGGCCGAAATTCCCGATTTTTACCGGAATTCCGAAGGGGCGGCACTCGGGGCGCTCCCGGCAGCGCTCGGAGCCGCCCGGGGCCGGGCCCAGGAGCAGAACCAGCAGCGGCAGCAGGAGCAGGGAACACATCCCGGAATCTGCAAAAAATGGGAATTTCGGGAATTTTTGGGAATTTGGGGTGGTACGGAATTTTTTGGGATTTTTTGGGGGATTTTATGGGAATTTTTTGGCTTTTTTTGGGGATTTTTTGAGGATTTTATGGGCATTTTTTGGAGATATTTTTGATTTTTTTCAGGATTTTTTTGGAAATTTTGGGGATTTTTTGGGGTATTTTTTTGGATTTTACATGAAATTTTTCAGGAAATTTTTGGAATTTTTGGGGATATTTTTAGGGATTTTTAAAGGATTTTTTTAGAGGTCTTTGGGGATTTTGGGGGATTTTTAGAGATTTTAAGGGTTTTTTAAAGCGATTTTATGGATTATTTAGGGGGTTTTTTAAAATGGATTTTTGGGGATTTTTAAAAGGATTTTTAGGGTTTTTTTGGAGAAACTTCTGGGGATTTTTAGAAGGAGTTTTAGGGTTTTTTTGGGAATTTTGGGATCAGCCCCAGCAGCGGCAGCAGGAGCAGCCAACACATCCCGAAACCTGCCAAAAATGGGAATTTTGGGGATTTTGGGAACTTGGGGTGGGACGGAATTTTTTGGGATTTTTTGGGGGATTTTACGGGAATTTTTGGGCTTTTTTGGGGGATTTTTTGGCATTTTATTGGCTTTTTTTTGAGATTTTTTTGATTTCTTTTTGATTTTTTGAAGATTTTTTTTACATTTTTGGGGGATTTTTATAAATTTTTTCAGGATTTTTTTTGAAATTTTGTGGATTTTTTGGTATTTTTTTGGATTTTTTTAGGATTTTTTGGGGATTTGTGGGGAATTTTTTTAGGTTTTTTTGTGGATTTTTTGAGGATTTTTTGGGCATTTTTGGGGGAATTTAAACAATTTTTTCAGGATCTTTTTGGAATTTTTGGGGATTTTCTTTAGGGATTTTTGGGGATTTTTAAAGGATTTTTTTTAGGGGTCTTTGGGGATTTTAAGGGTTTTTAAAGGGATTTTTTAAGGGATTTTGGGGATTATTTAGGGATTTTAAAAGAGTTTTTAAAATGGATTTTTGGGGAATTTTTTGGGATTTTTTTGTGATTTTTTGGGGGATGTTTTGGGGAGATTTTTTGGGATTTTTTTGGGATTTCTTGGGGGATTTTTGGGAAGCGCCGGGATCAGCCCCAGCAGCGGCAGCAGGAACAGCGAACACATCCCGAAATCTGCCAAAAATGGGAATTTGGGGAATTTTGGGAATTTGGGGTGGGACGGAATTTTGGGGATTTTTGGGGGGATTTTACGGGAATTTTTGGGCTTTTTTGGGGAATTTTTGGGCATTTTATTGGCACTTTCTGGAGATTTTTTTTATTTCTTTTTGATTTTTTTAAGATTTTTTTTTACATTTTGGGAGATTTTTATAATTTTTTTCAGGATTTTTTTTGAAATTTGGGGAATTTTTGGGGATTTTTTTTATTTTTTGAGGATTTTTTTGGGATTTTTTGTGAATTTTGTTAGGTTTTTTGTGGATTTTTTGTGGATTTTTTGGGCATTTTGGAGGGAATTTTTTTAGGTTTTTTTGTGGATTTTACGGGAATTTTTTGGCTTTTTTGGGGGATTTTTGGGGAATATTCGGGGGATTTTTTTTGTAATTATGAGGATTTTTTTCGGGTTTTTGGTGGATTTTTTGAGGATTTTTTAAGCATTTTTGGGGGATTTTTACAATTTTTTTCAGGATTTTTTTGGAAATTTGGGGGATTTTGGGGGGTTTTTTGTGGATTTTTTGAGGATTTTTTTCACATTTTTGGGGGATTTTTATAATTTTTTTCAGGATTTTTTTTGGAAATTTTGGGGATTTTTTGGGGATTTTTTTGGAATTTTGGGGGATGTTTTTAGGTTTTTTTGTGGATTTTTTGAGGATTTTTTGGGTTTTTTGTGGATTTTTTGAGGATTTTTTTTGGCATTTTTGGGGGAATTTTAAATTTTTTTTTCAGGATTTTTTTGAATTTTGGGGGATTTTTGGTTTTTTTTTTGTGGATTTTTGAGGATTTTTTTGGCATTTTCTGGGGATTTAAAAAAAATTTTCAAGATCTCGGAATTTTTAGGATTTATTTTTTAGAGATTTATAAAGGATTTTAAAAGGATTTCATAGGGATCTTTGGGGATTTTTAGAAATTTTAGGGATTTTTAAGGGATTTTTTAAGGTATTTTGGGGATTATTTGGGGATTTTTAAAGAGTTTTTTAAAATGGATTTTTGGGGATTTTTAAAAGATTTTTTAGGGATTTTCGGGGATATTTTGGGATTTTTTGGGTTTTTTTTTTGTTTGGTTTTTTTTTTTTTGTTTGTTTGTTTGTTTGTTTTTTAAGGATTTTTGGGGATTTTTTAGGAGAAGGAACTGGGGAAAAAATCCCAGAAAAATTTCTGGGACTTTTTTGGCAGCTCCGTGCCTCAGTTTCCCTCTAGAAAATCCCCCCCAAAATCCCAAAAAATCCCTCAAAAAATCCCCAAAAATTCCCCCAAAAATCCCCCCCAAAATAGTTTAAAACCCCCAAACAAACAAACAAACAAACAAAAATTCCGAAAAAAAACTCATTAAAAACAAAAAAAAGCTCAAAAAAATTCCCAAAAAAATCCCAAAAAACCCCCCAAAATTCATTAAAAACCAAACATCCCCCCCAAAAATTCCCAAACCGTCCCAAAAATCCCCCCAAAATCCCCAAAAATCCCTAAAAATAATAATAAAAAAATCCCCACCAAAAATCCCTGAAAATCTCCCAGAAAAATCCCCCCAAAAATCCCAAAAAATCCCTAAAATCCTCCCAAAAATCTCCAAAACTGTCAAAAAAATTCCAAAACATTAAAAAAAAAAATCAAAAAAAAAATCTCCAAAATATTCCCAAAAAATTCCCAAAAGAACTCCCCTAAAAGTCCCAAAAAATCCCCAAAAATCACCAAAAAGTCCCCAAAAAATCCGAAAAAATCCCCCAAAATTCCCAAAAACTACCCCAAAAAATCACAGAAAATCCCCCCAAAAATCCCCAAAAAATCCCCAATAAATGGAAAAAAAAATTCCAGAAAAGCCCCCCAAAAATCCCCCAAAAATCCCAAAATATCCCAAAAGTTTTCCCCAAAAATCCCCAAAAGATTCTAAAAAATCCCCCCAAAAATCTCCAGAATAGTAAAAAAAAATGCCCCAAAAATCCCCAAAAAATCCCATAAAATCCCTCCAAAATCCCCCAAAAATCCAAAATAAATCCCCAAAAAATCCCCAAAATTGCAAAAAATTCCCCCAAATTTTTGGGATTTTTTATTTGGTTTTTAAATTGATTTTTAGGGAATTTTTTAGGATTTGTTGGGGATTTTTTTTTTCCCAAGGATTTTTTGGGGTTTTTTTCCGGGGTTTTTTTCCAGGATTTTTGGAATTTTCAGGGAAAAATTTGGAGAATTTTTAGAGATTTTTTGGAAGGATTTTTGGGGATATTTTGGGGATTTTTAAAAGGATTTTTCGGGATTTTTTTAAGGATTTTTAAAGGAATTTTGGGGATGATTTGGGAATTTTTGGGGCGATTTTTGGGGGATTTTTACAGGATATTTTGGGGATATTTTGGGTATTTTTATTTTTTTTTTGTGATTTTTTTTGTGGATTTTTTTTTTGATTTCTTAAAGATATTTTGGGGATCATTTTGGGGATAATTTGGGGATTTGTAAAAATTTTGTTTGTTTTTTTTTTTTAAGATAATTTTGGGACTTCTTTGGACTATTTTTTGGGATTTTTTTTTAGATATTTTTGGGATATTTTGGGGATGTTTTGGGTATTTTATCTTTTTTGGGGGGGGATTTTTTGGGGAGTTTTTTGGGATTTTATTTGTATTTTTGGGGAATTTTTGGATTTTTTTTTACATATTTTGGGGATATTTCGGGGAAATTTTGGGGCTATTTTGGGGATATTTTTTTAATATTTTGGGGATAATTCGGGAATATTTTGGGGCTATTTGGGGCTATTTGGGGGTATTTTTGGGATTTTATTTGAATTTTTTTGGATTTTTTTTTATTTTGTTTAGATTTTTTGGGTTTTTTTTTTGGATTTTTTTTTAGATATTTTGGGGATAATTTGGGGATATTTCGGGGATATTTCGGGGATAAATTGGGGATAAATTGGGATTTTATTTGTATTTTGGGGGGATTTTTTTGGGATTTTTTTTAACTATTTTGGGGATATTTTGGAGATAAATTTGGGATAAATTGGGGATAAATTTGGGATATTTTGGGATTTTATTTTTATTTTTTGGTGATTTTTTTGGGATTTTTTAAAGATATTTTTGGGATAATTTGGGGATAAATTGGGGATATTTTGGGGATAATTTGGGGATAAATTGGGGATAAATTTGGGCTATTTGGGGATTTTATTTGTATTTTTTGGGCATTTTTTGGGGATTTTTTAAAGATATTTTGGGGATTTTTTGGGGATCTTTTTTAGCTATTTTAGGGATTTTTTGGGGATCTTTTTTAGATATTTTTGGGATAATTGGGGAATATTTTGGGGATATTTCGGGGATATTTGGGGGCTATTTTTGGGATTTTATTTGAATTTTTTTTGGATTTTAAAAAAATTTTGTTTAGATTTTTTGGGGATTTTTTGGGGATTTTTTTTAGATATTTTGGGGATTTTTTGGGGATCTTTTTTAGATATTTTTTGGCTAATTGGGGAATATTTTGGGGATATTTCGGGGATATTTGGGGGATATTTTTGGGATTTTATTTGTATTTTTTGGGCATTTTTTTCGGATTTTATTTGATTTTTGGGGGATTTTTGGGGGATTTTTTTTAGATATTTCGGGGATAATTTGGGGATATTTTGGGGCTATTTCGGGGATATTTGGGGGATATTTTTGGGATTTTATTTGAATTTTTTGGGGATTTTTTTTTGATTTTGTTTAAATTTTTTGGGGGATTTTTTTGGGATTTTTTTTAGCTATTTTGGGGATTTTTTTGGGATCTTTTTTAGATATTTTGGGGATATTTCGGGGATATTTTGGGGATA